TCATAGAGGAGTCTCAGCTCTTTCTTTCGCTCTCTTTCTCTCTCTCTCTCTCCAAAATTAGGAGTTAAAAATTTTCGTACGATGAATGAAGATTACTCGGAATCTGGAACGTAAATATTCGCTAACACTCGTAGCAACAGCAGCGGCACCACAGCTCGTATAACCGATGCGATGGTCGTTCTCGCGGTGGAGTCTGACGAAAATTACGTGCTATTCCTGTTATGACCTCATTTTCGCTTCGTAAACACACACACATGCACTAACGCACACTAACGCTCGCGCGCGCATGAGATCGAAAAACATGAATGGAAAGTATAAACGTGCGTGGCATCGCGTATATAGACAACAACACGGGAATGCGATGCCTGCACAAACTCGCATGAATTTTTTAAGCAGAGAAAGCTCACTCGCGCACACGGGTTTATATATAAGAGCCTAATTTCGTGCCTTTATTAATGATGTTTCTCTCGGTGACATACATGGAATGGGAGTGATTTTTTTCCACTTCGCGCGCAGACAAACGTTGTGTGCGCGCCTTGTTTTGCTATATATATTTCTCTCGCATACGACGTTTATTATGAAGTCAGATATGGCGTGCTCTCTCGTATACCCCGCACTGAGTTGAGTAAGATCTCCACATCTCTCTCTCTCTCCAATCTGGTTTAGCTCCATGTTCGATATACGCACAACTATGGATACATTTAATGTTGTTTTTTTCATTCTCGTACTTTCCTGCGTGCAATTTTTCACGTCTGTGTCATGCTTACTATTGCACTATTTTCTGCGCCCTATAGCATGCAGCACGCCCGTCCGCCCGCCTGCTCGTGTGTGTGTGTGCGCGCGTATTATGGCAATAAATAATTTTTTTCATGACTGGCGCGCATAGGCGTATTACAATATGGGCAAACATTTCAGGTCTCGGGTATTGTGTGCATGCGAATCATGTAATATCGCCAGTCGAGGGGATACACGTATGCAGCGAAAAAAATATTTGTAATGTAAATCATAAATGTACGCGAGAAGCGACGAGAGAGGAGGTATTTGCAGTACGCTTGCGTTCGGTCAATTAGCTGTTTCTACCTAATCACGAATTCCACGTAGAATCGTTAGATGGATTAGCAAAAGACGATTAAAATCAATTCAAATGCTAATGACTTCTTTATCGATTTTTTTTCCTTACGAAAACAAGAAAAGAATACAACAAGCGGATTCTCGAGAGAACAAAGTCAAAACCGTCGATCTTTTGTTTTTGAAAGAATAATCCGTTGAATCTTTAAGCATATGCTCTTATTTTCGGCCATGTCCTTGTATAATTAATAAGGGTTGATAATTAATATTAACAATTGTACATAAAACAATATTTAAAATTGGTTGGCTGGGATAGAGGCCACTGTCCAGTTCCACAACATCGTGCTTTGACTTACATGTTGCTTATACAATTATTTTGACTTTACTACTTGCAGATTTACAGATAAAGATACTCGCCATCTAGTGGTAAAAAGTGGCATTAATTATGATTGAATTTTCATGAATTCTTAAGCACTTTCAATCCAAATATTTAATTTGAGTATAGAACTTCATCTTTTTCATTTAGTTTTGCACTGAAAATAATGTTAATCATTGCATTTTCACGAATTTGTTGTAGTTTATGATTTTTCTAATTTTTTTTTCTAATTTTTTTCTTTTAAATAAATTTTTTTTTATACTTTGCTGGCTAGGTGCTACCGCACCTCTTGATTTTATGTGAAAGTACCTTAATTTGAATGTTTTGATGTAAAGTGAATCTGCAAGGTTTTTTTTAAAGATGTAGTTATACTGAATGCTCTTAAAAATTATTCTCACTTGAAAAAAAAAAAAAAACAATAACACACACAAGAGCGATGAAAAGACGTTCCAACGAGTGGCATTAGCGAAAAAGTGTGTAAAAAATCGCGAGCAGCAGCAGAAGCAACTCATCGTCGCACGAGCGCGCGAAGATACGAAAACAACAAGCGCAGCGATCGCACGCGCATCTGACGCGTGACGCACTCACTTGCTAGAATTACATTTTTAAATCCTCGACTACTCTCGCGTATTAATATGCAACACGAGAGAGAGAAAGAAAGAGTGAGAGAGAGGGAGATATTGCAAACGAGCGACAGGCATGGCCATTGTTCGGGCCTCGAGGCAGCTCGACACGGAGTGAGTGACGATTTTTTTGTGTATTCGAAAGCACATGTGCTCGCCGCCGCCGCCGACCGACGCGTCGTCGTCTTGGTCGTGTATCTGCTTTTTTGGGCTTAACAACCAGCCAACGGAATCGGACACGTTGAAATATATTGCGCGAATTTTCAAATGCCACACACGCTTTCGAGTTTCCTGGTGAACGCCACGCGTGTAAATGGCTATATATGTGCGCGAGCTTCGCGGTTCCTTCTTTTGTTATTTGCCAATGCATGACCGGCTCGAGCTCGGGGGGCCTCGGGCAAGGTTATTCTAATGAGTCTTGACGTCATGATGCATCGCAACTCATCTCTTATTTTTCATCTTTTTTTTTCCTTCAATTCTATCGGTGCAGCGATTGAAACTCTTATTTTAATTGCATCTATTATTGCAATTCTAATGATTCCGAGTGAGCACAGCAGTCTTCGAGCGTTATGTCGAGTTTTTTTTTGCTATATATCGAATTCGAGTTCCGTTTCAATAGTGTCATTTATCGCTCGAGCATAACTATATGATTATAATTTTACGATGATTACAGAGATAACGATTTTGTCTTGTAAAAAGAGCCTCGAGATTAAGATGTTTGTGCAAAATATACAGCCACTCGTGTACCGCCGCAATAATGGAGGCCAAACAAACGAGCTCGATGATTGCGGGCTTTTTTTTTCTTCATTCCGAAAGTCGTTATTGTTTCGCAAGTAAAAGCTCGGGCAGAGGGAGAATCGCGGAAACCCAAGGCGGAAATGCGGTTAACTGCCGGCAACAATAAACTGCTGAATATCCCACTATAATATTGATTAGAAAATATTTTCTCCCCCTCGTGTGCTCGTACGCTCTCGAGTAATCGAAAATCCAGCATCGTGCACGTGACGCAATATATAGCGCGTAGCGCTATTAAAAAATAAAGCAAAAATACACACGCGGGATAAATTGCGATCGTGTGCGTATTAAAAAAAAAAGAAAAAGAGAGAGAAGAAAAAAAAACTCGTTGGAGTTATATTGATAGTCACGCCGCGAGGAAAAAACAATTTTTAATCGCGCTATATTACAAAATAATAATTATGCCCGAGAGCTAGCTGCACTAGCCGAGCTTGATCGCTTCGAGCGCGCAAACGTGTACAGTGCAGTGGTAGCATACAAAACGCGGAAACGCAGCACACACACACACATGCACCGAATCCTCGATTGCCAAGGTACGCATACGAAGTGCGCCGCTGCGAGCGAATATATACTTTTTTAATTCATTATGTAGGTCGCTGGCTTGTGTGTGCGCCGCGTCTGCTCTCGGCAGTCCAAAGTAATTTTGCAAACGCATATATACGCACGCGGCTGCTCGTGCTTGTGTGTGTGTGTGTGTGTGCGGCGCGCGCGAGGTAGAAGAATCTAAGAATAGTAACGAGCAACTAGATAGTGTCGCAAACTGCGACTGCACGAGCGAGAGCGAAGGCATATAATATACAAGAGAGATGCGCTGCTGCTACAGCTCGTTTGTCGCTATTGTAAACAAACACGCGACGATATGCGCTCACGCATAGCGTGTACATCACGCACTGTACACGCGAGACGACGAAATTCACGGAATCGCGCGACTGCCTTAGCTGCGACGGCAGCGGTGCAGTGCGCAACGAAGATTAATTATCCCGAGCGAATGATGATATCGATCGGCTCTCTCTCTCTCTCGCTCTCGAGCGCGTATAACGCGACTTTAAATATATATTGAAAAACGTTAGGCGAGCTCTGAAAATGCTCGAGTGTACGATGCACTGCAAGCGTGCGCCTAGTACTTATATGCGGCGCACGGAAATTCCGTCGATTAAATCTGCATGCGGGGTACTGCGGCACGGCGCGAGCTGACGGATCGGTAACAGCCACCGGCGGTGCGGAAGGCGGCTCGAGATATCGTATACACTGCGTTCATTAATTCGATACACACAACGTATATACGTATAATTTTGCCCTCACGAAACCAGAGTCGAAAAAGCAGCTCTCTGCGCCGATCGCGAACCAGAGAGAGAACGCTCGTTTCATGATCAGAAACGACGCGCTAACTAGGCTGATCGAATAGAAAATATACTCACAGACACACACAGACACACATTGGCAGTGCGTAGTATACGTACGTCGTGTGATCGTTGCCGAGCGTATTAGCGTATATCTCCGCCGATGGGCGTTTAATTTAATCATCACTGTCCAAGTGCGTACGCGCGCGCGAGAGAGAGGAAGAGAGTGCGAAAAAATTCTCGCGCGCTTAATTTTTTTATTTTTATTTTTATCGCCGCCTGCAGCAGCGGCAGGCAGCTGCACACGTTGAGCTCGCTCGCTCGGCTCGCATGCTGTTTTAACACGCTATTAATCGAAAATGAAATTATATTACTGCTTATTGATCTGTTATACAGATTTAAATTATATTGAAATTGCGACGCGGGCGCGCGCGTTTATAAATGTTGTGTATATATCTGTTTCTCGCACTCGGCAGATAGCGGCTCTCGTGAGCGCGCGCCTTCGGTATTTCATGTATATACAAGAAAACTTTCATTTATAAGTTTCCGAGTCATTAAGTACGAACGACTTGGTAATTTGTCACTGTCAAATTTTAGCATTATAGAGAACCACTACTCGTCGCTCTAGAGAGATTTTCTCGCTACTTCGTAGAGGTGTAGAGCGCGAGGTGGCACCTATCATTGTCAACGATCGTCGTATTTTAACAATCGCGTCTGCTCGCTTATTAAATATACATGTACATGTATTTGACGCACGAGCGATTATTCAAGACACTTTTTTTTCTGCTTTCGTTACAGATAGGCCTCGAAGATGCGGGTGCGCCACGTAATAATCGGCCTGCTCGTACTCGTGTGCGCGGTCAATACCGCGCACTCGAACAAGTGTCTGACTATGCTCGAAGGTTGGTGGTACTTTGTTTTTTTTTCTTGTCGCTTGGTGTTTTTATTTCGATGCACGAACCGGTTATTTCGGTCGCGACGCGGGCTTAATTGACTGGAAATGTCTTTTTGCAGAAGTCAATCCGAAGAGGATTGTTCGCTTCGAGAACGAGCCGTTCAATATAAAATTTGAAGCGTCGACGCGAGTGACGCACCGCTTGGTGACCAAAATCATGAAGATATACTTGCAAGAGGTGCTCGGTTATTCCGACATAACGATCGTCGATGTGGAGGACGATTTCAATATTACGGCCAATTTCGCCAGGCTCTCGGAAAATTTGACCAATTCTCGAAAGTCGATGTGAGTTTTAATTGAATCAAAAGTTGAAATTAAAAATTTTGCGACGCTCGAATCGTTAATTTCATTTTCATAATCGCAGTATTCCGGAATCGATGGTCAACATGGAGGTGTGGATACCGCCTCACTTGGACACCACTCCGCTGTTGGATAAGCACGACGTCCTCGAGTTGGGCTCGGTCGGTCCGCCCGGTCACTTCGGCTGGTTCATACCCGTCGGACTGTCGCGACTCAACGACAGCTGGATCACGTTCACCAAGCAGGAGACGGCGGCGCGATTCGACGTCAGCGAAGTCGACTGGAGAAAGATCGCCAACGCCACCATCAAATCGGAGACGGAGTTCTATTGCAAGGAGTCGTTCTGCCAAGACGGAATGTACGTGCCGACTCAGTGCCAAGCCAACAAACTCCAGTCTCAGCCGTGCGCCATGCTCTTGGCCGACTACTCCAGTCCCACGAAGTTCATCAAGGATCACATCGACCATTACAAGTTGTACGTGAAAGTCGCTTGGGTCGGACCGAACTTGAAGCATCTCATCAAATACCTGACCAAGGAGTACTTGCAGTCGTCGAACAACGAAAAATCCCTGGTCGTCCTGCATTACACCCCCAGCAGCGTGATTCCCAACGAGAGCGAGTACGTGAACGTGGACTTTCCCAGATGCGGCTCGAGGGGCTCGCACGAGGGCTGCCTCTACGAGACGAGAAAATTGGAGAAGCTCGTGTGGAATCGGCTCGAGCCCATAGCCAAGCTGGCCTTCGAGGCCATCAATCGGGTCAAGTACACCGAGGAGATGTACGAGGCTCTGATCGACAAGTACAACGAGAAGCTGGTCGGCGGCACGTCCTACTCGAAGCTGTCGGCGATCGAGAACGAGGTGGCCTGCGACTGGCTGCGGGACAATTTGCGCTTCGCCCTGACGCACTGGATGCCCAACGACGAGGACAAGAACACCCTGATCGTCGGGGGCATCTTTCCCATGACCGGCTCGTTTTACACGGCCAAGTCGATCGTGCTGGCCGCGCAGATGGCCAAGCAGTCGATCAATCACAACAAGACGATCCTGCGCGACTACAATCTCAAGATGCTGATCAACGACGGCCAGTGCAAGTCCGACCTGGTGATGAAGTCCTTCATCGACTACATACTGCACAACTACTACAGCAAGCTGATCGGCGTCCTCGGGCCGGCCTGCTCCGAGACCATCGAGCCGCTCGCCGGCGTCTCCAAGCACTTCTACACGGTCATCATGAGCTACGGCGCCGAGGGCTCGAGCTTCAGCGACCGCAGCCGCTATCCCTACTTCTTCCGGACGATCGGCGAGAATCGCCAGTACCAGTACGTCTATCTGCAGCTGCTGCAGAAGTTCGGCTGGCATCGGGTCGCCGCCTTCTCCGAGGACGGCCTCAAGTACACGGAATACATTTCCTACATGCAAGACATGCTCAGGGACAACGGCATCGAGTTCGTGGTTAATATTAAATTTCCTCGAGAATGGGAGCCGGAAGTTTTGACAAAGGTAATTAGCGATCGCGTTATGTATCTCGGTAGAGTAGCAAAAACTAGCGAGAGAAGTCCAAGCGTCTCAATGTCGATGTGTGTTGATTTTTCTTTTTTCATCGTTTTTTTCTCTCTCTCTCTCGTGTAGTATTTGGAAGAACTGAAGCAGAAACGCGCGAGAATCATTATAGCCGATGTTTACGACCAAGTGGCCCGACTGGTTATGTGCGAGGCTTACAGACACGAGATGACGGCTAAACAGGTACATAGCATTTTTTCTCGCTGATGTAATAATTAATAGCGCGCGCGCGTGTGACGATAATCAAATTCGCATATCCGCTCGCAGAATTACGTGTGGTTTCTGCCGATCTGGCTGAGGTCCAACTGGTTCGACACGGACTACTACAACTCGGCCCAGGGCGAGAGCACCCCCTGCAGCACCGCCGAGATGAAGATGGCCATCAACGGCCACCTCGGCATCTCGCACGCGACTTACGCGCCCGACGACAGCATCATGCAGGAGGGCATCACGGTGCGCGACTGGCGCGACAGGTACGAGCGCTACTGCAGCTCCCAGAAGGAGGTCACCTCGCCCTACGCCGGCTACGCCTACGACGCCATGTGGACCTACGCCTACGCCGTCGACGCCCTGCTCAAGGAGAACTCGAGCTACATCTTCGATCTGCACTCCGAGCACACCGTGTCGAGGTTCACCGATATCATCTCCAAGACCGACTTCAATGGGGTGAGTTACTCGAGATAGACATTAATTTTTTGTAAATGTTATCTTGAATTTGTCATTTCTAAGAACGATTACTTTTATCTCGACTAAAATAATTTCTCTGTATTTTTAACTCGCAAAACATCGTCGAAAACAAAAAAAAATTAAAAACAAAAATTTTCGGCGAAAACAATGAATGATTAAATAAAAATTCGCAATAATAAGAGGAAATATATCAAAGTTTTATGGAGGAAATCAAGCATGAATTTTAAATATACAAAAAAAACCCAATATTCGAATACAAATTTCACTAATTGAAAGATTTTAATTTTTAAAATTTTCAGCGCTAGTAAAATCAAAACTATAATAAACAGTTTAATAGTTTACATTTAAAAAACTGTGATATTTTAGATTGATCCTTACCTTTAAAATTTTTCGTGCGATATTTCTTAATCATTGACACGTGTATTCGCCAACCGCGATCGCATCGAAAATCTAGTTTTTGCAACGCTATATAGCACAATCTTGTGTTTATAATTTATTTTTGGATTTTATAATAATGTGGATATTAATTCACCGGCTTGAACAGGTTATCGGACGTTTGACTTAATAACTTCAAGTTTAATAGCCTGCAACAGATAGTTTTTAAGGATTCTCCAATTTGCGAAATACGTAAATATAGCTTATATATATACGATCGGGTTTTTACGCTCTCGCTTATCACCGAGTTTGATAATGCTGCAATCTAACGAAAAATTTTACGCTCGCATAGGTATCCGGAAGGATTAAATTCGTGGGTGGCCCCTCGAGGTTTCCTGTTATAAATATATACCAGCACATCGATGGCGAAATGAGCATCGTCGGAGATTTTCATCCCAATATTTCCGAAGAAACCAGCCTAGTGTCCGGAGGAACTCTGAACCTGAACATGTCGTCGATCGTCTGGCTCTCGGGAAAGATGCCCGACGACGGTAAGGAGCTACCCGCAAGTTGTCTTTTTCCTCTGATAGCGCAAGTCTTTGGCGTATCCTGCTTTTACGCGCTGATCATTTTCAACGTATTTATATTCGTCCTTCTTATAATCGGAATCATCATCACGGTTTTATTCATAAAAAAGAGGTAAGCTTTATAAATTGGCTGCAGATTGCAGCGACGGTGATATTTAATATCGTAATTATACGTTACAGCTACGAGAGGAGAGTGAAAAGAACCGAGTACTTTATCCAATCCTTGGGCTTGGACCTGCACAATATGAACAATATCTGTCTCGACCGATGGGAAATGTCTCGCAACGACATCGTGATGAACAGGAAAATCGGCGAGGGCGCTTTCGGCACGGTCTATGGTGGTGAGGCTAGATTTCCGGAAAAGGGAGGGGCCTGGGTGTCCGTGGCCGTGAAGACCCTGAAGCAGGGCAGCACGGCCGAGGACAAGTACAACTTCTTCGCCGAGGCCAACGTGATGAAGAGATTCGATCATCAGAACATCGTCAAGCTGCTGGGCGTTCACATGGCGACCGAGCCGGCCCTCGCCGTCATGGAGTTCATGCTCTACGGAGATCTGAAGACTTACCTGCTGGCCAGAAGGGGCTTCGTGAACGAGCGCGTGCCCACTTACGACTACGACGAGATTTCCGATCTCAGGCTGACCTCGATGGCCCTCGACGTCTCGAGAGCTCTGGCTTATCTGGCGGAAAACAACTACGTTCACAGGTAAATGACTATATTAAATTTTGCTTATCGATTCGAGTGGATTACTCAAATATTGTTGTTTTGCAGGGATATCGCATCTCGAAATTGTTTGTTGAATGCTCAGAGGCAAGTGAAACTTGGGGATTTCGGCATGACGAGATATTTATACAACGACGAATGTTATCATTTTAATAGAAAAGGTGAGCAATCGTTGGGTGAAGCATCTGAGATAAACGTATGAATCTCTATATCGTGTATCTCTTATTTTTTTTTAGGTATGCTCCCTGTAAGGTGGATGTCTCCTGAAGCTATTCGAACAGGCAATTTCACATTGGCCTCTGACGTCTGGGCGTACGGCGTTTTAGTATTCGAGATTATCACTTTTGGTAATTTTCCATACCAAGGTATGAGCAATAATCAAGTCATCACTTACGTCGAAGGTGGAAATACTATAAGCATACCCAAAGAAGTTGATCCGAAATTGTAAGCAATTAAAAACAGTTTTTTTATCATTTGAAAAAAATCCAGCATTCTTTTAATATAAAAACAAAAATTACAGAAAAGATTTGCTGTTAAAATGCTGGTCGTTCGTTCCGGCCGAGCGTCCGGCGGCCAAGGAAATCGTCGATTTTCTCGGTAATAATTCGCGAATCATCTCTCCGTGCCTCGACGCGCCGGTAGCCAGCGTCCAACTGGAGCACACCGGCGAGATGGAGATGCACATGAACAATCCTCCCAACGACCGGAAGCCCTCGTTCCCCCGCTGGCCGGCAGCACAGCAGAACAACGCCAACAAGACGACGTCGACGACCATTACTCCGGCCACGGCGAAGATCATGGAGACGATCGAGCTCAACGGCATCAACGCGAACGGCGGCATAGTCGCGGAGACGCCGAGCGTGATCGAGCTGCCGCCGGATCTCCAGCTCGAGAGCTCGCAGCCGCTCCTGAGCAACGACGACCCGCTCAACGATTATTGCGAGAACGAGTCCGCGGAGAACCAGTCGAATCGCTACGTCAACATGAAGCCCGGCGTGACGGTGGACATCAGGCTCGAGGACTCGGTCACCTACATACCGAACGGAAGGCCGTTCTCGTGATAGGCGCGGCTGACGCCTATTTTCACTTTTCTTTTCACTGTGATATCATGTCAACGCGAGATCGATTGACTGAATGCTTTAATTTTGAGACTGATTACCAGGGAACATAGTCGTATTTATACTTATACATACGAATATCGGTATGAATCGCTACGATTATATATTCTTTAGAGATTACTTCTTATTATAGTATACGAATAATTTACTATATTTTACTATTTTACGATACGATTTATGAACAATTTTAAGAAAAAATTGACTCGCGGAATAAAAGCGACTCGAGGCACGAAAAACCATGACAATACTTTGAGCAAAATATTGTTTACTGAGTGTTTTATTACATTGTCAAGACTATTAGTCGGTAAAAATCATCTAACCAAAAATGATTTCCTTGTACAATGAGATGTACGATTTTAAGTATACGTATCTGTTAAGGAACAAACTTTTTTTTATAAGTAATAGAGAGATATTATTTTAGCCGTAAGAAATTACTGTGATACTAGACATATGTAATTGCCTACGAGCATCACTAAATATTATTTTATAAAAAAGCGTTTCCAATTATACATTCAGTTTTGTACGTAAATTATATGAAATTTATTTTTGGATTGTTTGTATCTTCCGATCCGATAATCGCAATAATAAGCATATGCGTGCTAACAATAAAAAATGATTTTTATATTATGTTGTGCAAATAAAATTATGATAATAATGATGCAACATTTTTTAAAGAAGAAATGCCTCAATAATTAGTATCTTGTTTTTCGATGAAGCTCATTGCTTTTTATATTTTCATTGATATATCAAATGATAAGCTTCCCTTTAATTTTAATTTATCAAGGTCAACATTTTTTGCAGCTAATTGAACGTTCGAATTCATTAACCGATCTTTGAGAGGTATGTGTATATTTCTATGATACCCACTAAAGATACAAAGAACGGCACTCTCAAAGCTTATGAATATGACGAAAATACTTATGTATAATCTTTCTTGTTGCGGACGACATTTCTGGAGATACGACGAAGACGAATGGGTTTAAAGCTGACTTTGTAGATGTGGCTGAGCTTATTTTGGAGTCAACACGACGAAAACAAAATGAAAAAGTTCTCAAATAAGAAATCATCACTTAAAGTCAGTGAGAGAACTGATATAAACGTTCGGTGATTTAAACAGATAAAGAAAGAAGCTTTTTATTCGAAGATTAGTTCATTCAATGAATTCCAAAAATAGTTTGATGGAGAAATTAATATTTAAAAAGATGAGGGTAAACTACTCAACTTTATTATAAATCAGAAAAATAGAATGGCACACACATAAAATTTACTATAAATAGAGTAAAATCATCCCCGGTAGAAATTTTAAACATTTATAATGGGCTTATTACCAAAAATATAATTATTAAAAAAAATTGTTTAAAATATTCATTTTTGATTGATACTGATTGACTTGTTTTTGGAAATTTCTCTGTTATAATTTAAGCGCATTTTAAATGACCTGACGATTGAACTGTTATAAAAAACTTAGGTCAGTTTTCAACCACTCTAAATATGGTAATATCACTTTAAGCCTCCGCCACTAGATGGCGAATACCTTTATCTGTAAATTCACAAATGGCAAAGTGAAAATAATTGTATAAGTCGAAGCACGGTTACGGACCACCAGCCACAATGGATATGGCTTTTTTCAAAAAATGTTTATTTTTTCCATAATCTCAAAATAATATCAACAATGTACATATATTCAAAAACTAGCCACAGCAATGCTAAAGCAAATATACACCAACAATTACGGCTAGTGGAAACATGGGCGCCTACATTATCTACAAAAATTTTGTACAGTGCTTTAAGACGTGCTGAGCACGCAAATGTATTACACCATCATAATAAAAACATATAAAAACTGAAAAACTGACCACCAGCAACTGCATTTAAACACTCTTCTGTAGATTTCTAACAATAATGAATCACTCTAAAAATTGATGAGCGCCTCTACCATTTCATTATGGACAATATAATGCAGTTTCCGTTTTTATCAACTAAATAAAAGTATACACCAATCATATAGTGCAATTAAATTAAATTAAATATTATGATTGAAAGGACTGAAAGGGTAATAAAATTTTTTATTTAACTTACATGAATAAGCTTACTCGCGGTTGATATAATAGATTTCTTCAATTTGAAAAAGCCTGTTTTTATTAGCACGAATACAGTTACCGCAGAGAGATAAAAAGTAAGTCGACATTATTTAAAGATTGTAACTAAAAAAATCGATGTTTACTTACAGGACATCGCATTATTATTTATATAGAAATATATTAATTTTTATAGAAATAGTTACTTTTTATTTTCAAACTAATTTTTCTGACGATCTCTCATACATCGTGTCCAAGTAAGTTACGATACATTAATAATAATAAATAACGTCTCAATTGTAAGAACCGTTACGCGCCAATAGATATTAGAAAACTGCGTTGAGTTTCAAAAGAACGACGCAATACAGGCAAGATAAGAATACGCGCACAACAATCGCTAGCGCACAACAAGAAAAGTGTCAGTGTGTAAAATGCAATTCTCATCGAAATTTATGGTTCAGTTATGCGGCAGTGCGCGCGCGCGTTTCAGTGTTAAATAAAATACCTTCGACCGATAGCACGCGCGGCGCGATGTGTTATGAATAAATGCGTAGGTTCGAGGTAAAGAGCCGGAGAGCTCGGCCGAGGCGTAATAATTCCTTTAAGGTAATGAGTTTTGTTTTATTCATACAGGCGCAAGCCCGGTGACACCTTCTTAAAGGCCGTGAATCATCGGGTCGCTCGAGGTGTCGACGATAAGCTCGCTCTCCTCACGCTCTCTCGCGCACCTATGCGCACGCACGTATTTTCTTATTTTTCGTCGCCCGCGTCGTCGTCTCGAAGCGCCAGCATCTTACACACATACACGGCCAGTTATATTTTAACAACTTTAAATTATCTAGACTTGCGGGTAGAAAAAGAGTTTATTTCGCGTGCGCGCACTCTTTTTTAGCCCCATCATTTTAAGCACTTTGTGCGCCTCGTGTGTGCATTTATAAGCTCTAAAAGTCGGCGTGTCAATGATTACGCACCTTGCGTGAGCGCGGACGCGCATTGAATATTCATCGGGCGCTCGCGGAGTGCGTCAACTTCGCACAGGGTCCAGCAGCAGCTCGATCCCTTGGAGCACGGCGAATATTATAATTATTCCGCGCTGCGCCGGCTGGACTACTACGGCCTGCTAAGAGAACTAAATTGCCTTATCAACGGGTCGTTTAAATAACTTTTAAGTGGTGAGCATGTTTTCTGCGATACCGAATTCACTTGTGCGCGAGCGCGTGATGTGTTTGCCGCTTTTTTTGGAATACAAAAGTGATACTTCAAACCCAAGAGTAAGATGTTGCTTTGAATGCCAAGTGGAATTTCTTAATCGACGAGGGGAGAGCCGCAAAAAGCAAATACTTTATTGAAAATTTCATGCATGTATTTCATGCACAAGGCGAGAGCGCCTACTCTATGCAGCTTGTATATTTTAGAGCACTTTCGAGCGAGCCGGGTTGCAGTTGGTAGGGGCGCCTTGCGTATGGTTCGGATAATTATCGAATATATTTTGTAGCACTCAGATTTGTCTTATAATACAGAAGTTTGATTTTACAAAATTAGTTATTCATTAAGATTCAACAATAGCTCATGCTCTTTTTAATTGTCATATTTTTCATTGTTTTTTATTGATAAGTTTTGGAAAAATTCTAAAAACTCATTCCCAGCTCCAATTTTCTTAGCTCTTATACGGATTTTTCATATTATTATTAATTTTTTCTGTAAGCTTAAATAAAGCAAAATTACTTGTTGAACCAAATGATATTTATGAGATTTTAATCTCTTTGATTTAAGAGCATATTTCCAGAAAATCTTGAATCGCGTGATTCTAATATGATGTAGAGCTTTGCGCGAAGAGAAAATTAAGGGTTTTTCCATAACTAAAATGTATGAAAATGCACACAACACACAACCGGCTTAGAGTCATGAATGAATGTGGCGCCAAGTAAATGGCGCGGCAAAGTCGCGTTTTGCCTACGCACTTTTTGCGCCTCGCATGTATCAAACGGATACACGAGCGTGTATGCATACGCGTTCACTTGACACTTAGAAGAGACAGAGAGTGACTAATTTGTCTGCAAGTTTAGAATCTCTTATTGTTCTTGATCTGTCAACTGCGGCTTGCTCTCTCTTTCGCTGCTTTGCTTGTTCTACTCGAGCTTACACTTATCATACACAAACTCTCTTTGCGTGTGTAACGTCAAAAGTATAATATACGTTTATGCGTGTTAAGCATCATAAAAGAAAGTATTGATTTTTCATTTTCATTTTCATGATAATCATTTATGTTACAGAGGCTTAAATTTTACATAAATTATTTGTTTCTATCTAATTTAGTAATGTTTAGTGGAACAAAAAAGCGTCATTTATAGAAGTATTCGATGAAAAAAGAAATAAAATCAGGGTAAATCGCTTTGACTAATTTAGAAATTTTGAATAAATATAGCTTTGAAAATAAAAAGTACAAGATGGAATAAATTGTATAATTCTTTTATTTATCCAAGGGTATTATTTTCTTTTCTCTATTATGCCTCCACTCAATTTCCACGCGTGTTGTTGTCTCTAAATTAGCTGCTCAAAATTCGGTGTGAGTACACTCTCGGCCACTGTTACGGGTGACGATATGCACCCTCGATAAATATCAATTTGTACTTGCGTTTTACGTACATTCGCGCCAGATACACAATTTAATTTTATGAATACAGTATTGTACTTTAACGATACTGCAGGTAAATAGTGTCGTTACGTTAATCAGTTATAAGGGGGACCTCTTATTTCGCAGGAGAAATTAAGTCGCACAATCTTATTATATATCTCAGACAAATAGAACATCGTATTGAATGGGTTGTTTATTTTACGAGAAGTATCGTAACAGGGCCCAAATTAATGATATGACCAATATTTCGTCATTAGGCAACTGGCTCTTTAATTTCTCAAAAATTATTGTTAGTGTTGCACGTTCAATTATAATTTTAACCGAACATAACATAAATACTGCTTATGATCATTTTACAGAAGCATTTGTATGAGTTATCACTGCACATAATTATTAAAAAATGGGCGAATGAAGGAAAAACATAGCAAGATATACATAAAAACAATATAAAAAGTATACAATTTTTATTCCAAATATAATTTTCCATGTAACAATAAATGGAACAAAAATTAATTATTTCTTTAACTGTAAAAAGTAATATTGAAAATTAACGCTCCAGAACTGATAATTTTTTCCCCGAAACTGCATTAAAATTGGATGAAATTTCCATCGTAAATGAAGCTGATTGCAACCGCTAGGTGGCGAATATCATGAAACATATAATTCTGCAAGTGGCAAGTTACAGACGATTATCCAATAAATTTAAATATATACATGAATCGAATACGATCGAAGAAGCTACGCTTAGGTGTCTGATAATCGATACGATCAGAGAATTCATTTTCATGAACCCTTGCCATTTTGGAACATTCATCAAAATATTTTTTCTCTGAATAAAGTGTTGAGATGGGATTGAAAAAATTGAAATCCATTTTTTGGATTATATTTGTAAAATAATTTACAACTTATTTATA